TTATATTAGTATGAAGAGTAAGTCCACTTCAATCAGAATATAGTATGTTTATATTAGTATGAAGAGTTAGTCCACTTCAATCAGAATACAGTATGTTTATATTAGTATGAAGAGTAAGTCCACTTTAATCGGAATATAGTGTTTACACATGTTTAACATCAACATACTAATTTGATGGGTAATCTAATGAAGAAATATCTGAGTACTCATGCACTTTTTTCATGTACTCATAATGTACTCATTTTCAAAAACTTTATGAAAGATGAACTGTAGAGTTTTCCAAAAAAGATTACAAAAGATACTCTTCCAATATAGTCAGAACAAAGCCTTCAGCAGTTCTGTATACTTCATACAGCCTCTTATTGAGTTTAAAAGATATGTTCAAATATCTCTTCCATTTACATTTCAGTGGTATTTAATTAGTATTTACACGATAATTTTGAGCAAGTAGTTTTTACAGGGCAAAATGAATATAGTTTCTTATAGTCTTTGCAACAGATATTTCCCCAAATACTGTATATTCTGAATAAACATGCCACTGAAGAAATGTAACATTCAACTTGATGGTTTTAATCTTTTAGAAGTGAACTTAATTATACTGTAGAAAGTTATCAACATAAACATGGAAAATTCTGCATTCTTCCAAATGTGCCAATACATAAAAATTCATCTAGGCAAAATAGTATTTATGCTTCCATTTTATTGTTTTTAAGAATTAAACTGCCACCTCAGTAGTCTTAAGAGCAATATAATGAAACATACATACATTTAATTTAGACTTATGTCCATCATAGCTTCAAAGGCTTCCCTGAAATAAGGCTGGGATTCACATCTTTTTCCGTAAGGAAAGAAGCACTAACAGTAATTTTGTTATCCTTCTACCCACCCACCCTCAAACAATTGATGAATTCAAGTCTAACACAATTTAAAACTTTTGTCTACTACAACATTCATCTGATATGCCTCCCTGCATAACATAGATTTCTTAAACCTAATTGAAAATAAATCATTTTTTTAAAACTCTACAAGAGTTCTCTTAATTCAAAATTTTATGACACTGATTTTTCTCGTCCAATACATAGGCTAAGTGGTTGCTTACCACATTCAACTCTAGTGACTTTCAATAAAAGCAGGACAGCTCTTCATAAATAGCTGAGAAGCTCTAAAGTGATTTTGGCTATTTTCTTATTACATGGAACAAAGAAATGGTTTGGATTTTTAACAGTAACATTTTAATAGCTCCTAAACAAGGGCATGAAAAGGAATCAAGTTTGCACCAGTCCAAGTACCTACAGTAATATGATAGAAGCACTCACCACCAACATTTCACACTATTTCACTCCCATGCTTTTAATAACAAGCATTTCTCACTAGAAATATTGCATTAACACTGGACTTTCAAACTGTGAAGTGTAGAAAATCACTTGCCTGACTTAAAACAAAAAAGTTTATTAGTTATTTTTGGCCAGTCAAGGTTGAAATGGCCATTTTGTTATTTCTAACTTCTGCTCCTAGGGTTCAGAAATGATTTTGCATCTGATCATTCAAGATGAGAATTTGTTTCACCTGTACCTGACAGAATAAAATGGTAAATTAGCAATCAGTTCACCCTTTGTCAAAAGAAGTATGTTCTACATGTATATACTACAAACTATCTAATAAATGATATCTGCATACTACACATTTCATGTTTTATTATGCACCATTTTAGTGGGGAGGAAAAACTTCACAGGGATTTATTCAAAGGATATAAATAATATCCTAAGAACGCTGATTTATACACGAGTTCTGTATAAACTGTTAAGTGGTCATTTTAGCTGAACTATAACAAGCCCCTATAATGTAAAAGCTGACTCTAAAGGCACCATGTAAAGCACTGAAATCCACAATTTAGCTGTTACTTTCCTCTTCTCCAATACAAAATTATCTGGTAGTCTTCACTGTTGACTCCATGCTAAAATGTTCCAAATTCAGACTGCTTTACCAACAAAAGGAATAGGAAATAAAAGTTTTTAAATTTCAAGTTAGAGGAAAAATTCTATCACACAGCAATGAAACCTGAGCAAATGCAAATTTGTGATTACAAGAATATGTCCTTCATTAATACATTATTCAAATTCCTCCATGGCATTCAAACTGCAGTTGAAAATCCTATAAACAAGAACCCACTTAAACACAGCATCAAACTCTACCATGAAATGAAGAATTACATAAAGCCTATTCAGCCCTATTCAGTTTAAGACAATGAACAGAACACATTTCATCTAAATAACACCATTTAAACAGTTCTATAAAATAATGTTACTTAAGATCAGTATGTGTGGTGCATATGTGATTCCGACCATTCAGTAAAAAAGCATTAATGAGTAACAGCATTCCCCACCAGCTTGAAGCCTGTAGAGTTGATTACTTTGGCCATCTCTTTCCAAATAATTAGTAATGCCTTTTAACATTACAAACAAATATATCTTAGTACTAGAATTCCAATGTATTTTGGTGCTCCTGAGGCTGCCTAAAAATGAAAAGGCATCCAAGTGAAGTGCATTGTATACTTACTATACCTCGAAACCTCAACATTTCAGTGCCTAAAATGTGAAATAACTCTCTTATCATTTAACAGTCTGCCTTACAGCAAATTCTAGATTTTTGCTTTTAGGATTTTATTATAACTTTGGGAAATTAGTGGTAAAACATATGGTTTAAAAAACAGTATGTGGCTGCACTTAAATTCACATAAAAATAGCATTTTTACAATCTTATTGAAATTTAATCCTTTTACACAGGTTAACAAAATGTATCACAAGAAAAACTGAACGTTGGGTTTAACAAAACAATACTTTTGAAGTAAAACAATGAAAAATTTTTTCAAATTTTTTACAAATGGTCACCTCTGGGTCAATTTACTAAACTAGGGGAATAAAGATGTTAAAATATAGCTGTGCTCAACTGAGCCACTTATCTGTACTACAGTATGGTACTTGAAATCAATCTTAAGGTCAAGATTTAAAACCATTTTAAGAAACAAGACCCTATGTGTTTTATACTACCTCGGTAAGAGGTACTCTTCCTTCCCAAAACAGTCAAAGCTTAATTAAAAGATTGACTATACATAGTTTTTTTCCTCCTCATATCTTCAGTTCAAAATACTATTATCATTGGTAATACGGTCTATATCTCGTCTGATCTGGATGATGTGGTCCAGGAAGTGGGGTTTGAGAAGGCGGACCCTGCAATCGTGGAGGAGGAGGTGGCCCTCTTGGTGCAGGCCATATACCAGGGCTCATTCCCCCTGGTTGTGTAAATGGAGGGCTCAGAGTTCCTTGATCTTCAGTGAACTGGGGTAATGAGTTAGGATTATAATGGTGAGGAGGGGGTGCAGTTACAGGTGGACCACCATGTTGAGGTGGGGGAGGTCCTGGAGGAGGATGATTCATATAAGGTGGCATCTGGGCAATAATATGTCCAGGGGGAGGGGTTATTGGTGGTGGAGCAGAGGTCATTGGTGGAGGTGGAGCTTGGCTATATACCAAGTGAGGAGTACCTGCAGCCTGGGGAGGATGTGGCATTGGATGGCTTATTGGTGGTGGAGGAGGTGGGGGTGGTGCATAATGTTGCTGTGGAGGCATAATATGATGAGGGTGCGATACCACTGGTTGACCCTGATATTCAGGATGATGGTGAGCAGGTGCTGGGGCAGGAGGTGGTGGTTCTCTAGCACCTGAATTTGAGTCATCCTGAATAGGGACGGTTATTAAATTGCTGTGTTTTCTTGTTGAAATACGAAAGGTTTCCTGACTGACCGATCGAGGTGGAGGTGGAGCCATGGACAATTCTGCTGGAGGAGCACGAATATCCTCATGTGGCTGATTATAGTGCTCATGCGGCACATGTTGCAAAGGAGGTGGTGGCATCATGATGTGCTGCTTTGGCGGAATATGGCTCATATGGTGCTTGTCTGGTGGCATTATAAAACGCTCAGGGATTTCAGTTGGTGGTGGGGCAATAGGAGGATGAACATTTTCAAGTGAAGCACGGGTAACAGGTTTTCCAGCTCTCATATGGCGATGGTTGATATGAGCCTGTAAGTCTCTCTGAGACAAATACGTTCTCTTGCACCCTTGAACAATGCTACACATGAAGAGAGAACCTCGTGTACACTGCTCAATTCGCTGCACAGGATCACTACAGCTAAATCAGAAGGGGAAAAAATGTGATTTACTAAAAGAGAATATAAAAAATTATGTAATTTTCAAAAATATGCCTCTTTTAAAAATTTGACTGTTACATAAAACATAGCAAAAGTCCACAATTAGAAGTTACAGTTATTCTACATGAACCTTTAATCTTCCCTACTTTGTTGTCTATTAGCCATTAAGCAAGGCATTTCTGTCATCTTCAGAACTCCTAATATCAAACCATATGTTTCAAGAAGAGACCTCATTCTTCCGAAGGCCTAGAATTTATCTAATTTTCTCAAACAATTCTACGTTTTGCATCCATTTGCCAAAAAACCCAGCAAGAAAAAAACCAACGGGTTGATTACTTACAATCATGGAATTCAAACTTGTATGGTATTATTGAGTGATAACTGTTTGTTGAGCAAACAGTGGAAAACAGTAAGTAGAAAACAGTAAGTAGAAGACACTGCAAGGACTACAAGAAGTAACATCAGCCTCATCATTAGGGTTCTTAACATTAAACATAAACTATTTCAATCTAAGCCTGGACTATTAAAAGTCCTTTAAGGAAGGGTTTTTTCTGAATTGTCAGGCAAATTTACACTTTCCTAACTTTCTAATTTGTGAGCACTAAATTTAACTTAACATTTTCTTAAAAACTCAGGGTCAAAATTGTAACTATTTTTCATTTACCATATTTAATCCATACTTGCCATTACAGCTTTCTTGACACAGTGGGGAAAGAGGACTGAAACAGGAATCTGAAGATCCTGGATCTGGTACCGGCTCAGTAATTTGAAATCACTGAACCATTTTTGAGTTTGTTTCTTCATTTGTACAATGAAGTTAAAGTATCTACCTACTTCACAATGTTCTTACATCTATTTCATATTACTTCAAAGAATATATTTAATATCAAACAACGAAAGTGACAGTATTTAATCCCCAATTAAGCACTATATAAAAATATATGTGTGTATATATATAAGCAATTATCATTGAATATGTGTGTCAGGTCATTTGGCACTAAACTAAATGGCTCTATACTCTTGATTTTGAGTTGTCTATCTTTCCATCCTTACTATAAGGCTGGCACTCCTTATTGATGTTATTATGCTTCCCTTTAGTGGCCATCTGGCACACTTGTTTTTTGCTTCTAGTTCACTGTAAACTCTGAACTATCTCGACCTTAACAAGATGAGAGGCACTTTCTCTCGGGTGGTGCTTAAAAACAGTAATACATACTGTTTAACTCTGATTGTCATTTCTTCACTTCCTGATCTGGGTCTGTTAATACAGATAGGCTTCTGTCCTAAAATTGCTACTAAGGACCACATAAGTGAGGTGTGACACTTAGTACTTTGTTATATTTAGTCCATTAGTAAGGTTAGTACATTAGTATATTCAGTACATTAGTTACATTTAGTACCTTGAGAATTAATTTCTTTAAACAATAAGTACCTTTTAATTTCCTTTTAATAAATAAGAGGAAACCTTTAAAAGTCCTCTAAATAATGTTTTATCACATCTGAAATCCTTTATTCCAATGAAGCAATCAAATTTACTATGTAACTTAAAATGAAGGTATACCATGTTGAAAACTTAGGCCTGAGAAAACACCCAAAAAAAAAAACGATATATATTTCTAGTGTTTTAACTCTTCTGAATTATAATTCTATAAACGAAATGTTTTAAACTCATAGAACAAATTTTATAATCTGTTACTTTAAAATGCGAATAAAAACATGCCACGAGAATTAGTTGTCACTGAGCTGTCAATAAATCACCCCTCTCTCCTGCTGACGTTAAACTTTCCTACACCATAAAACGGAATCATTGCTGACAAGTGTCCACAGCTTTGTTATCAATCAATACCACAAATCTTGGTGTAGCTTTAAGCACAGGTTATAAGTGACCTAAGAAGCCTATGGCCATTCCAAGCAAGTATCTCTCATTCTTTCTTAAGCCTTCCTTATCAAGAGTTCTGAACTGATATAAAAATTATTATTCTGTTTTCTTCAAGACTATCCCAAAACGGATCTAGCTTTTTATAATTTGTTTGAGACTATGTAATGATGGTGTTCTAAGATATACTCCAGATACAATAATCAGATTTGAAAGTAGCAAGAGCTTATATATATATATATATAGTGCTTACTATATGCCAGCTACTATATATATGTACATGTGTACATATGTTATATATATAAAACCTCATTTAATCCTAAAAATACCACAAGGAGGTAGGTACTATTATCAGCCTCATTTTATCAATAAAGAATAGTCTATGACAGTAAAGCAGCTAATAAATAGCAGAATAAGGATTCAAACCCAGGAATTCTAATTCTGGAGTCTTTGCTCTCAATATATCTTAATACTTCTTTAATGCCTCATCAAAAAAGTAACTGTTTTTGGTTTATAATAATACTTCTGTAATGGCAAACAGATTTCATTCTGACCAATTTGAGTTGACTGACAGTGTTTACCTTGCCCTATATTAAAGAGAAACGCTAGGCAAGCTGGGCTCACAGAAAAAGATTAGCCATGTCTGTATGTTTGATCTCCTGCCTGATTTATATCACTCCCTAACCTTTAATCCAACTTACAAATCATTGTACTAAAACTTTATTATTTAAAAAAGGTAATGATAATCTTATCTTACCCTGGACACATCTTATCTCCCTTTTTTTCATGTAAAATAGCACAGTCATAGCAAAAAACATGCTTGCATGGAATCTGTAAACAAAGACATATTACAGTTAAGCATATTAGAACTTAAAATATTTCTTAAAAAAAAAATATATAGTGACCTATACATAAGGCGGCTTAGAAGATACTTGAGAATACCTGTTAAAATGAATATTTATTAAGTACTAATTATAATAACCTTTTTCAATCACAAAGCCTTTTGAGAACATCACAAAAACTATGGCCCCTTTCCCAATAAATATACACGTATGTATTTGCTTACACTTTCTGGAGGTGTAAACTCTATGAATTTCACCCATGGTACCCAGACGTTTTTTCCTTTTTTTTTAAGAAACAGATCTTGCTCTGTTGCCCAGGATGGAGTCCACTGGTGTGATCACAGCTCACTGTAACCTCGAACTCCTGGCTGATGTTCCCTCCTCAGCCTCCAGAATAGCTAGGAACATAGGTGTGTGCCACCACACCAGGCTAATTATTTTATTTTATTGTAGAGACGGGGTCTCGCTAAGTTGTCCAGGCTGGTACCAAACTCCTGGCCTCTGGCAATCCTCACACCTCAGCCTCCCGAAGCTGTGAGATTATAGGTGTGAGCCACCACACCCAGCCCTCTGCAAGTCAAAACCTCCTGAAGAACACTTTAATTATGTGTTTTTTTTTTAAATCTTGTTTCTCCTGAAACTATTTGAATGCAGTAAAAATAACAAGTATGTCCTATGTTTAATATAAGCAGCATCTTCCTCTGGTCATTTTAAGTTAATCAACTAATAAAAATCTAAAAATCAATCAGAAGGATACAGTAAAATGATGTTAGAACCACATTTTTAAATTCACAGCCTGTTACTATTTCTTTACTATGATGTACAGGAAAGCAACAGTGCATAATCCACGCCATCTACCATCACAGGTATGTTACTGAATTCAATTTTTTTTCTAAACGCAAATGCAAAACTATCTTTTTTGGAGGGAAGAAATGTGAAAATTACTATAAAATTACAGTTAGGATTGTAAAATTTTTTTAATGATTAGAATTCAATTTTCAGAAATACTAATTATTATTAAGCCTCTCTGAGTCTCAGGAAAAAAAGAAATTATAAATATTATTAATGCAGTTTTATGTAAAAAAAATTGTGGCCTTCAAACATAAGTAGTTTTGTTCTATTTATTAAGAAAAAAATTTTTCCTTAATAAACTAGAATAACTGTAAACTAACTGGTATCAAACACTCTAAAGAAATTAGTTTTCAGAAATTACTTTAATTTTCAGTTTTATTTAATATTTTACAAGAATTCAACAATTTGTCAAGATAATCATATTAAATTCACAGTATTCCAATACTTCCCTTAATTATTTCATACTTATTTAAAATGTCACAAACTTAGTCATGAAACAATGATAAACCTATCTAGTTAAATTTCAGAACCCCACCTCTATGCAAATGCTTACTGACAAAAACAGTATTTAATTATACTTACCATTCGCCCATAGATTTTAATAGGCAATCCACACTTGTCACAGAAATGAACTGGTGTATCATCCTTTTCACCTAAGATGTTTATCTGTTGAAATGATATAATTAAAATTATCTTCTCACACAATTCTAAAGATTGTATCTACACAATGAATTGGTCAGTGTTTTATAAAAGTTGTTAAAACAATTAGAAATAAAAGCTTCTTGGTATAATCTCCACGTATTCCCCACCATTAGCTGTGATACCATTAGTTTTTCTTCTTAGTGTTAATATACTGATTTTACTGAAAAGTACTTCAAATTATTCTTGAAAATAGAGTATTAACAAATGATTTGTATATACTGAAAATCAGTTATAAGTTCATAACATTCTTTATGTATTGTGCATTACTCTAATAAAACATTTTAACTATTTAATACTTAAAATATTTTATTGTTCTAACACAATTTTTCATTTTTAATTATACCTGAAAGTCCCAAAAAAGGTGTCCAGGAAACCTTCGCTGATTTCCAAACAGCTCACCACCTTTACAGTCATACCGTTCTTCTTCATTATAATCAAATCCTTCTGAGAAAAAAAAAAAGTACTGCCCATTAACTTTCCACATCTCAAATTTCATTTTGGAAGTACATATACATGGCAAAATAGATCTTTTCACTAAAAAGCCCATCTGATGCCTTTCAAAGCTTTTCTAAGAATAAGACAATCAAGATTAGTTTAAAACATCAGTTAGAAGTGATCTTGGTGATCTAGTACAACTCTTTCACTTCATTATTGAGAATATTACTATATGGAGACTCATAACAACTCAACATATAGAAGAAAAGTGGCAAAGCCAGGAACAGACCTCAGATCTCTTGACTCCCATTCAAATGCTCTTATCAATTCATGAAACTATTTCTAATGTAAAATGTTACTGACTACTGATTATCATGCTTGTTGCACAAATTTTTAAGATACTGATCACCATTTATTCTAGTCTAGCTACAAAAATGGTATGCCATGAGACTGATTTTATTGCCAAGAGTATAATGAAAACATAAAGCATTCTATGCATTTTATTAGCAAACAAGTTATCTTCTTCTTTAGCCCTAAAATGAGTAATTTAGACACTTTAACATATTCATATTTCACCCTGTCGATTAAAACCACTCCCTGATTAATTACCCAAACAGCAGCCATATCATATCTTATGTATCCTTTCCTACAATGCATTTATCAATATCAATAAACTTAAGATATATGAAGATCAAATGGGCTCAATTTCTCTGGCCTAATTACAAAGTTGATGGCAATCTTCTCATCTCCTACAAAAGAACAAAAAACCAATCAACAGTCTGATGGGAATTCTAGGTAGAATCCAATTACCTAAAGTAAAGCTGAGCAGACAAATATATCCCTCCAAGGAGCCAGGCTTCTCACGACTCTTTTGGCCCTAGAACTGGTAAACAGAGTAGCCAAGCACACAAGTTTTAACTTTACCCACATGACTAAATTACAGCACCTATACACAGACACAAACACACACAGACACACACTCACATTAACACACAAATAGTGATGCAAGAATTTTTTGAAGCTGATAGACACTTTGGTGTACTGCTATTTAATTACTGCCAATACGAATGTATAACTCAAAGTCAGGGCGCTCTGATAAGCTACACCTGAGAGTTCCTAGGCTCCTATATCACCCATTTACACCTTAGAAAAGCTGGTGTGATCTAAAATTCAAAATAAGGAAACTCAATTTTTCAAACCCAGAAAATTATTGGGATAACAGCCTAGGAAATTAGGAGCACATTATCATTTTTCAGAGTAGTTCCACCTGTACTCCCATCATTAAACTATATATACTTGTAGAGATACCACACTGACACCCCAAACTCCACATTTTGATTGATGCCTAGGAAAACAACAATCCAAAAATTTCTTTTACTCCAAATTCCGAGAGGGAAAGGGGGAAAAGGATTTTGGCTTTTCTGCATTGTTTGAACTATTAAAGAATGCATTTGTACACTACCATGTTGTTTTAAAAAATTAGTTTTTTTAAAAAAGCCAAAGCAGGAGTGATCGTAAATTAGAGGTAGTGCAATAGCAGCCCTAGGTTATTACTAACACGATTTGTAACAATTTGACTTCAAATATACTTGTTTAGATGGGAGAGAAACCCTACAATAAAAGAAACCATAATGTATGTTTTAACTAAAGCAGCTTGATCCTACAAAATAAATACAGACAAATTGCTGGAATAGAACAGGAAGTCTAGAAATGCAAAAAAATACTTTTAATACAGGGGTCCCCAACTCCCAGACCTCGGACCAGTATCCTTGGCTTGTTAGGAACGCGGCCACACAGCAGGTGAGTGGAGGGCTAGGGAGCATTACCACTTGACCTCTGCCTCCGCCTCCCGTCAGATCAGCAGCTGCATTAGATTCTCATAGGAACGCAAACCCTATTGTGAACTGTGCAAGAGAGGGATCTAGGTTGGTGCTCCTTACAAGAATCTAACTAACGCAACAGTTGCATCCCGAAATCATTCCCCGCACCCTGCCATCACTCTCCATCTGTGGAAAAACTGTCTTCCATGAAACCAGTCCTTGTGCCAAGAAGATTGGGGACTGCTGTTTTAACATACATATGATAACAATAAAATTCCTATTCAGCAAGGAAAAGAGTTGGGACAATGTTTTGGGGGGAAAAAAAGCCAGACGCCACCTTTTTTCCCCTTAATAACCAAATACATATCCATAAATGTTCTCAAGCAGTATCAGTGAACTTTTTCTGTGAAAGGCTAAATAGTAAATATTTAGGCTTTGTGGACCATATGGTCTTAATCACAATTAACTCAACTCTACCATTATAGTGTGAAAGCCCCCATAGATAATACTTAAAGGAATGAGCATAGCTGTGTTCCAATAAAATTGTTTATAAAAACAGGGTTACATTTGGCCCACAGACATAGTTTGCTAACCTGTAATCAAGGATAAGATGGAAAAACTCTTTTATACTGGTGAAATAGGGGAAGGCCTTTCAAAAAATGTCACAAAACCCAGAAGTCATAAAAGCAAAGACTGGATACCTGACTACATAGAATCTTCAAGATTCTCTGCAATAAATATTTTGTATACAAAATTAAAAGACAAGTGAAGAATATATACAATATAGGCCAGGCACAGTGGCTCATGCCTGTAATCCCAGCACCTTGGGAGGCTAAGGTGAGAGGACTGTTGAGCCTAGGAGTTCAAAACCAGCCTGGGCAACACAGCAAGACCCGTCACTACAAAAATTAAATACAAAAAATTAGCCAAGCAGGTGGGGCGCACCTGTAGTCCCAGCTACTCAGGAGACTGAGGTGGAAAGATCACTTGAGCCTGGAATATCGAGCCATGATCCCACCACTGCACTCCAGTCCAGGCAAGAGAGTAAGACCCAATTTCAAAAAAAAAAAAAAAATACATATATATATATATGTATATACACACACATATACATACATAACATATAACAAAAATCCTATTAATTTACAAAAAACTCAGAAGAAAGGATCTAAACAAGAATGACCAATACTATGAAAAAATATTCGCTCTTTCATAATTAAAAGAAATTTACATCAAAACAAAAATTTTAAAAGATTTCTAGTACTCACTATTGGTGTATGGGAGTAAAAACTAACATACCTTTTTTGAAGAGCAATTTGACAGTACTTGTCAAACTCTAAAATCCACAGTATCTATCAAGTTTTAAAATATCCAAATTTGTAGGTTTAAAGTCTTTGGAATTAAAAAAAAAAAAAAAAAGGCCAAATCTGTGCAAAGTACAAATTCTACAAAACACTATGTCTAAGAATATTTGGTGCAACATTTTTTGTAACAGAAAAAAACTGGAAAAACTGTTAAATTATGGTATATCTAAAAATACCCAAACCTGTTTTTTTAATGAGGTATATCTGCATCTACTGATAAGAAAAAAATCTTAAATGCGTATTACATGAAAAAATGGCAACTACACATAAAAAATCAGTAGTTTTGTATAAAAAAGTCAACAGGGATTATCTTTGGATAGAAGGATTTTACTTTTAATGTTATGCTTTCTGCAATACTGTTGAGATTATTAAACAATGGGCAGCATTGCTTTCAACAACAAAAGGAATCAAATAAAAAATATTTATAAAGGGAAATAAAAATACAATGTGCTACAATGAGAAGTCAAACAAGAAGGTTGAAGAATAAATAGGAGATGTAAGATAAAAAAGAGGTAGCTATAAGATCACACAGACTATCTGGAGCAATCAGATAAAACAGAAAGAGTGTTGGACCTATTAGTTAAACAAATTACCTTCATCACCAGGTGGAGCCTTTGCAGGCATCCTGTTTATAGTCCTTTGAGTTCGCGGTGCAGGTTTTGCTTTGTTTGCTTGTTTGGAGATGAGCTTTATAGGAATTCGTCTGCGAACATCAAGGCCACCCAAGGATCCAGAACTATTAGTGCCTTGTAACTCATTGTCTATGTCAGGGAAAAAAAAGTTGTAACTTCTTTTAGTTTTTCTTTTTAAAGATTATTCTGCTACAGGTATTAAAACAACATACCTAACATTATCAAGTTTAAAGATCTGGGTTCTGATTTTCAATATTACATTAAGTTTAACTGCTAATTTTACTTATTTTGGATCAACACTTAAGGCAATGCTTTTTAACCCTTTTTGAGATATGGAATCCTTTAAGAAACTGATAAAAGTTATAGGACCTCTCCCTAGAAAAGTGAATAAAATTTTTCATATAATTCCAGAGAAGTTTACAGAAACATGAAACCATTCATGAACCCAAGAACCATTGTCTTGAACTACAAGAGATTTTTTTTTTTTAAAGAAAAAGACTAAGAAGAAAAAGAAAGAAAACCATCCCTATCCCCATGTCTGATCATCAAGCATGCAGATAATAAACTTAGTAAACTGAACTTACTAACACTGATGAAGGCAAAATTAAATAATGCATTTGAAAATGAAGTTAAGAAATGTGATTATTCCTTAAGTGTAAGAGAGTTATTCTAAAAATCATTCAGAATTACAGTAAAAATCATTACACCATTTAGTAGTAAAAACATGCAATAATGTATTGGGCTATAACATATGACTGAGTTCTTAGTCGGCCCTGTAATGGAAAATTATAATTGAAGAGGATGCAAAGTTCCTGTACTACAACTAGGTCTAAACAACTGTCACCTTCTAGTCCCTGGAGTCTTTGCTTGTTATTGTCTATAGAATTAATTCTTGTCCCATGAGTAACAGGAGTATTATATCATAGAACTGACCCCATCTAAAGCTTAACAGTTACCTTTTTTCAAATAGATGAAAAGATATAATACAGAAAATACTTAACTTGACCTACTAAAGACAAAAAGGAAAATGCTTAAAATAGGAAATACAAATAACATATTTTTTAATTTATTGTGTTTTAAACATGACAAGTTATTGAACAAGGTTGTATAACTGCCCCTGCAGGAAATATTACAGTCCAGATAGATAGCCAAACCGTCCACATTAAATTCAGCAAAGCCAAATTTGGAAGTAGTAAGCTAGTACTAATGGCCTCCAAGGCTACTAGGATTACAGACACACACCAAGTTCACATTCATTTGCACTTTTTCTGAACAATATATCAAACAAAATTAAAAATGGGTCCTTAACGATTATTTTAAGTATCTTTCAGTCTACTTACTACTCTTATAACAGCTAATCCTCAAACAAGGGGAGGGCAGAATTACATGGTTAGCTAGAATCTTGAATTGGGGTAAACCCAACTTGATTAGCTTTCAACGCTTCACTAAATAGACTCACGAGCTGATTAATGTATTTGATCTGCTTTCATTGTAGTTGCTTATGTACATAAAAGTAATTACAAGCAATGCACTGGCCAGAAGAAACATGAATGACTTTTTTTCTTGCTCAAAAAGTATTCCTGACATTCCAATCAACTAAAAAGCAAGTCGTTGTAGACATATAATCAGTTCAATGCTGTCCCTCAAATACTAAACATTCAAATATCAAAATGGTTTAATCGTTTTACCTTTGTGAATAATGAAAATACCAACACTTCATCACAAGTCCTTTTCACACCATCCTGAACATTTGAGGTCTCTATTGTTGCTTGCACAGTCTACCACTTTCAAGAGCTGGCTGGCCCTTCTCACTTTGCTTCACAAATTGAAGTTCATGAGGTACAGCATTTAATAGTGGTAATGTTCTGGGTTTTTTTGCGACTTTTTTGCTTTTTGTTGTTTTTAAATTAAGAATCAGAACATAAAGCACTATTTCCTTTTGAATACAGTAACAAATTATAAAGTTCTTAACAACAAAAATTTCTTAGATATTACATAGAAAATGACTAAGGACTACTAGCCACTTAAGATAAATTCACTTTAAAAAGGCACAACACTTCCATATTATATAGTTTAAAAAAGATTGGGGATTTTTATCCTGAATAAAAGGAACCAACAAATATTTTACAAAATCTGGGATCTTTTACAAAATCTGGCATACAGTTACAGAAGTGCTAATTCTTAGAATGACCAAAGAATAAATCTAGTGTTAATTGGGAGCCTCTTGGAGTAATTTTTCTGGCAAGATTCTATTAGAACACCTTCATTTTTACATTTGAATGTCAGTATGATCATAAAATGGGTCATTTTTGCATAATGTTCAAGGGTTTCATCAATTTCCCCAAGGAACTCTTAATCCTTTAATATTGAAATTATTCTTTTGAGATGCCTATTCTGTCATGATTCTTCAATTATCTAGCTAAGTGGCATTTCCTCATTTGTCAAAGGCTTTGTGATTTAAACAATTATCAAATTCATATTTATGAATTTCATGAAAACCAGAATCTTCTGCAAGGTTTATAATTTTATTTCACAATCAATGCATAGTATTTGATACTATCTTCTGATACTAAGCATCAAAGAGACTGATTCATTAAAAAAATAAAATAGGTAAGAATTTAGTATTAAGCAGAAGGGACATCTCAGCGGGAACTAATTTTTTAAGTGGTTGGCTCATTCGTATTTTCATGTTCGGATGAGTTTTACTTCCTTAGGCAATGTCTAAACTTCAAGAATTAAGATAATAAACACGCTTTACACCCACCCCTATTATGATTTCCTAACATAATAGCCTCTAAACTATGGCAGGAACTTGACTCACAATTCCAGAAAATAATTCAAATAAGAATTATTTTCCAAAAGTCGAATGTTTGCTATTCTACCATCAAAATCGCAGTTTCAGCTCTATATAAATTCCCAAACACTGGAATTCTTTACAGCCTGGTGCTAGGCTGGCTTCTCCTCTGAACACACCCTTCTTAAGTGGTCTCATCTGTCCTCATGCTTTAAAATACCAGCTATAAATAAAGGTACTAACTTCCAAATACGTATTTTCAGTGCAGATCTTTCCTCTCATCTCCACTTGGCATCTCTCCTGTCTCAATAGTTATCTCACACCAGTAGTCCAAGACCAAACACTTGTTCCCAAATTCCCATCTCACCTCTACAAAAAAAGACTGTTTTCTGCTCCAAGTTTTCCTCAATTCAATAATGGACACTACCTAGTTGCTCAAACCAAAAACCTAGGTATTTCTCCTTTCTCTCACATTCGTTCAAACACCACCAAAGTATTTACTGAAGTTGCCCATTCTCCTTCATTTTCACCAAACCAACCTTCCCTTTCCGTCTACTGCAATCAGCTATTTTCCATCATTCTTACCTCCCTCTCTTACACCATTCTCGATAGAACAGCCTATTATATTTTTTTAAAGAGATTGTGTTCCTCCTCTACTTCTGTTCAGTGGCTTCATATTCACTTAAAAATCAAACGTTTACCATGGCTTTCAATGACCTGAATAATGTGCCTGCTGCCCTCCTTTCCAATCTCACTTCAGGACTCTTACACTCTGGTTATTACTAGGCTGCAGCTGACTTCACTATATCTTCCTACCTCAGTGCCTTTGCACTTGCTGGAAATGCTTTTCCTCTTGCTTTTTTTCCCAGGGCTGGGATCTTCTCACCCATCAGATGTTAGCTTCCACAAAGACCATTCCTAACAACTCCCTCTGAAATTTCCCCCTATGAATCTCTCCATAGCACTGGTTTATTTTCTTCAAAACACTTATAATTCGCAAACATTTAAAAAACAAAAAATTTTTTAAAAAAGAAGATATTGTCTGTGTTCCTCCGTGAAATAGAAGTTCTATTTGGTCCGTCTCGTTTACCATTCCATCTTCCATCTCCCGACCTACAGATATCTGTATCTGGCATAAACATACACTACATAAACATACACACCTAATTACATAACCAAGCAGCTATCTGATGAGTGAGGACAACTCAATACTCAAGAAAAAGCCTTTTTTTCTCCATTTGTGATATGGTCGCTGTAAACGTATGGGGCACTTGTTAACTCCAAGAGCACGCATTCAATATCCGAGAACCACAAAGAAGCAAAAGCCAGAAAATACATAATAAAGGGTGGAGCTACTCTTACTTGGAGAAAAGTATGAGAATGCCTTGATTTTAAGCTCCTGTTTGTAAATACCCTCAAATGATGAGTACGGACCTCAGTCGAAGCGCGGGGCATGCTTTTGGTTTAGGTAAAAGCTAAGAGTTGGATTCCAAAAACTCTATCAGATGCCCTTCTTTCACCTCTCTAGTCCATAAAGGATCTGAGAGACGACAGGAGGTGACCACTGCAGCACCCGCCCAAAGCTGACTGAGACAGCAGGAAGTCTCCAACCCACTCTCGCCCGTCCACTCCCAGCGTAAAGAGGATTCCGCGATTCGGAGACCGCAATCTACCCGCCAGTCTCCATAACGTAGGCCAGAGCAGCTGGGCTGAATAAAATAGAGCCGGCGCTCTCCCTTCCCAAAGGCCTACATTGCCCACCGGTCCGCGTTCGGAGCTCAGAACGAGAGAAGGAGCGGTTGTTGCCGGCACGGAGGAGGTAGGTACCACACCAGAGGGTAGGCCAGGAAACGGCAGGCCCCTGCCAGGCACAGGAAGGCATATGTGAGATTTCTTCTCACTGCCACACCCTAGTGTTGTGGGGCGAGCGTAATCCCTTTTGCCTGCTGGGCAACCAGCCCCAGGCCGGCCAAGGGGGCATGGAACCGGGACCCCCACTGCCTCCGCCTCCTTACCAGTGTGATCCATGATTCGGCTCGCAGAGCACAGTGGGAGCGGAAGTCAACCGCGCCGGAGTCGCAGCGAGCGCGTGCGCACTGCCTTCCGGAGGCCGGGAGGCGGAAGTCCGAGCAGGTTGTCCTAGTTTTGGCCTGCAAAGACTTCCTTCTCTCGCCTGCACTACCCAACTCCTGTGAGGAAGTCAGGCATAGTTCGAGCAGAGGCAGAAAGAGCGAGCGCGCGAAGAACTTCGGTATCGAGGTTGCTAAGGCTTCTCCTCATGTGCTTCAAGAGAAAGTAGCCTTTAACTGTGGAAAGGACACCAGGAGGACTGGGGAAGGGGTGAGCAGTGGTAAAAATGAGCGTGAGGCGGATAAACCGACTGCCCGCCCCCGCGGAGAGCGGCCTTCTGGGACTTGTAGTGCGCGAGGGCCCCGGAGCCGGCCGGCTGCGCAGCCTCGGCCGTTGCGCTGGCCCCACCCCGGCGGGCGGAGTAACGGTTTGGAATCCCCCGGGGTCAGCGAGCGCTTGGGTCCTCCGCCTGGTGTAGAAAAAGTGTAAACACATGCGCTTCGGCAGGCGTCCTCCAGTGGGAGGTTGCTCAGGGGATGGCGGAGCTGTGAAACTCGCAGCTAAAAGGAAAGTCTCAACGCTTATTGTCTAAATTTTGCTTTGTTGTGACCAGCTACCTAAACCCACGCAGATGTGACTTGGTATATGCCCCGGTTCCCATCTCTTAAGTCTCTTAACAGTTGAAACACATTTATAATGCTTGACTGCCACTCACTTTCTAGGGAGAGCGCTTGTGACGCTACGAACCTCTTGAACACCTGAGGACTGGGCGCCAGGGCCTGATGGAGGGTGGAGAGCCAGTGCGGCGCAGCTGCCTCCTCTCACGGGGACACCTAGTAGGAATATGCAGAGTGGAGCTAAAGGGAGCAGATAGAAACCGAGAGAGGGGAAGAGCGCGCGAAGGCTTGGCCGGAAGGAGAGGTTAAAAAGGAAAGGCCTAAAATGAGGAAGAGAGTTACCGCAACAGGCAGTACCTAGTTCCAGTTCTTGGTCCCAGGAGTTTGTGGTTGCTGCTGCTTTCATCTTCCTCAGCCAAAACAAAAGGAAAGTGCCAAGGGGCGATTCCTAGGACCTTCAGTGCAGTCTCCACCTCGCGGACTTGGCTCATTTGTGCCCACTCCTTTCTCCCACGTTTTACACTTGATGCTCTTGGATGAATAGAAAGGAGCACAATTAAGGGAAAACACAAGCTTGGGAGTCAAGGGATTTGGGTTCTATTCTCGTTGTCCCTTGGTGACGACATCATTACCTTGGGTTATTCAAGCTTTCAGTGCCAGAGTTCCTATATCAATAAAAGATTATTACATTGACCTCTTAGAGAAATGTTTTCATGGTACTGAATTGCAAATAAAGTATGTGTAGCAATGTGTTATATCTTTGTAGTTGTACGGTGTTACCTGTGAATCATACTGTGGTGATCACTGCGATTTAAGTGCACCATGTTATTTGGTGATTATTTTCCTGAGATCTTGTAAAAGATTGTTCCACTAAATATATGCAGCTTTATAAACAAGTTTTTTTTTTTTTTTT